TTTTTTTGAGTTTGAAGTCTGTTTTATCTGATATAAGTATAGCTGTTCCTGCTTTCTTTTTTGGTCCATTTGCTTGTAGGATTGTTTTCCATCCTTTAACTTTGAGACTATTTTTATCTTTTGTAGCTAAATGTGTTTCCTGGAGACAGCAAAAGGTTGGGTTTTGTTTCTTAATCCAGGCTGCAACTCTGTGTCTTTTTATTGAAAAGTTTAGTCCATTTACATTTAGAGTTAATATTGATATGTTAGCATTTGTATTTGCCATTGTGTTTGTCTTTCCTTTGATTTTATTTATTTATTCTTTTAATAACTTTTTTTTTGGCCTTCTTTCGTTGTTATTCGTCCCTCTGAGGTTCTGGCTTTAGGATTCCTTGTAGTATTTTTTGGAGTGGGGGTTTAGTCATAATGAAATTCCAGAGTTTCTGTTTGTCTGGGAAGGTCCTTATTCTTTCTTCATAGAGGAAGGAGAACTTTGCGGGATAGAGTATTCTTGGTTGGCATCTGTTTTCTTGGAGTCTGTTGACTATGTCCCTCCACTCTCTCCTTGCCCATAGTGTTTCTTCAGAGAAGTCTGATGTCAGCCTGATTGGCTTTCCTTTGAATGTTATCTGTTTCTTCCCTCTTGCCAGCTTCATTATCCTGCCGCTTTTCTTCCCTATTAACTTTTTTTTAATGGGAGGTCTTACTCGCAGCGTCTCCTCGCCACTATGTTGCTCCGCCCCTTTCCATTATTAAGTTTTATTCAAACATATAATTGTGATTATTTTGGTAATCCTCAATTTTTTTTTTTTTGGCCACTGAAACAGTAACATCAATATAGATTTGGTCTTTGATGCATAACATATATTAAAATCAACATATATTTTCCTTTTGTAAACACATTTATATTTTGCTCTATTGATTGGTGCTTGCCGTTCTTTCCATCATTTGTCCACAGCTACAGTTAGATGCCAGTCTATTTTTCACAGTCTAGTGGAGAACAGATATAAGTAATTAAGTAATGATAGTAAAAAAATGAAGACACCAACTGATTGGAGGTAGATTAGCAAGTTTTTCAGAAACTTCAAGTTTGAAGATGGTAAGTAAGAAGGAGTAGGAATATAACCTTTCAGTAAGAGAAAAATAATGACTATATTAAATTTCAAGAAAACGTTTTTTGGTATATGGTCATGAGGGGAAAGCTTGCATTTTTGAAACAGTCCATTGAAAATCTGTGGCATGAAGTTTGAATGAACTTTTGTTCAAGAGAACAGTGACTCCTTCCTAGACAAGAAGAAAACTGGTGGCCATTTGCATTCTTGGGAACATTAACTGAGTTTAGAGGAATAGGTAGACAAAGGAGCAAGCCTGCTCTTTGATTTTTTTATACCCTAGGAGAAACCAGCTGAACTTTTAGTAGCTACATGTAAGCTGACATGACAGATTGGAAGATGGGATCCTCAAACATGGTGCTAATTCACCTCATATACCAAATCTTATCAAAACTTCTGCTGAGTAAGCAATGATGAAGAAATTTGGGACTGAACTGGAAAGAGAAAAAAAAGACCTTAAAATCTTAGAGTGCTTAAATTCCCAAATTCTTCCTCAAAGACAGATCTGATTTAATGCTCAAGACATTTGAAACTAGAAGAGAGCTAGAACTAAACACAGGCAACTCAGCTCTAACCACCAGCTAACTGTAATACTACTGAAGAGATAGGCTTTTTACTCTGGCTGCTTTATGACATGGGAAATGAAGTGCCTCCTCTGGGGGGAAATATCTGCTTAGTATCTTTTTTTTTTTTTTTTTTAAATGCTCAGTGTCTGGCAAAAATAAAGAGAGAAATGAAATATGGCACAACAAATGTAATAGTGCCATGGTTGAGAAACGCTACTCTAAATTGATTTTTTGACTTCTAAGTGCATTGTTTCTCAACTGACTATACACATGGGAAGACTGATTTGAATGAACCTGTGACTGGTAGTTTTAAAAGTTCCTTAGTATTTGAAAACATAGACTTAACAGTATATGTTCAGGGCCTCCTCTGGTGGCGCAGTGGTTGAGCGCTGGGCTGCGAAGCTGCCAGCAGCCTCTGCAGCCCCGGTTCCATCCCCGGCCGCTGGCGAGGGTCCCACATGGTGCAACAGACCTCTCCTGCTGCGCCCGCTGCTCCCCTCAGCAGTGTATTTCGTCAGGCTGCCTGTTGTGTTCCCCGCTCGAGCTCTGGTGAATTCTCTCACCCTCCTGCACTTCTGATTGTATCCAGTGCTTATATAAATAAATAAATAAATCTTTAAAAAAAAAATTTAAAAAAAAACAACAGTGCCGCGGACCAGTGCAGTGGTAGACTGGCAAGGCTGTCCCAGGGATGTGAAACTCGTGCAGGATGGTCAAGGATTTGGCGCATAAATGACAGACAGACACACTTCAAGAGTGAAGATCTGAATGTAATTTGCCCAAAATCATTATACACTTTTATACCTTTTTTAACAATGGATGATTTCATACAAGTTAATTCTTTCTCAGCATAAAATGCTTAGTAATGCATAAGACATCTACTTCATTATTCATGTTCATGTGATCGATGTTTCATGGCATGGCACAGTAAACAATCTCAGGGTACTGAATCTACACAATTATTTTTGATTACACAGAACAGTATTCTTTAAGCTAGCTTTTCTTGTTTTGTTTCCCAAAACCACAATTATCAGAAAGCATTAATATTTAACTACTGCTACCTTTTACTTTTAGTGATCACGAGCAATATATTCTCTACGTAAGCATTTTAATTTTTGTGGTGTTGTCTCATGTGAGAAATATTATGATTATTTTAAAACTACTATTGCCACACACTATTTTTTTTTATTATGCATTTCCTGAAACTGATTGCACACATATAAAGAAAAAGTAAAGTAAGTGAAAAAATAGTATAATTATAGACAGGTTGCTAAGTTGTTACTTATTCAGAAACAATGACTATCTGGTTAATGGTTAAACTGCTTTGTGGGTAATTCCATCAGGCTTGTTTGTAGGCTACGCTCTGCAGCAGCCATTTTCTTATGCCAAGGAGGGGTTTTTACTGCGGGCTTAGTGCCTAGATTAGGCTTATAGGCATGTAGGCGTTGTTTGATGTGAACGCCAAAGTTTATCATGATGAAGCCCCTCGGGGACTGCGCCCTGTCTCTTAGGTCTTCAGGAGTCGCAGACATGTGGCTAGCCAGTGCCTTCTCTAGTCTGCCCCTGATCTTACCCGTCATTGACTGTCCAGTCCAGCGCACAGGGGAAGGGGGTCTTATTCACTCAGATGTACTATGTGTTTGAGTGAAAGTCTCCCTCTTTTCCAATAAGGTCATTGGCGTTCAGCGGCAGGGGCTACTGCACAACAATATATGTTCATAAGAAAATATACAGTCCCGGTCACCCTTTTTTTTAACCAAAGCTAATTATTACCGTGATATTTAGGCAGTATAATTGTTATACCTTAATTTCAATTTTGTAGGCAAATTCACAACTTAAAGAATACCTTTTAGATTATTCTATATTTTGAGTATTTGTTATTCAGATGATGAAGAAAATTAGATCAGGCAATTAGCAATTTCACTTCAGAAAATTTCACTTAAGACATTTTGGTGCTATTGCTCTTGATGGTCCTTGTACTACTCAGCTTTCCCCTGGATGTATACGTTCATCCTGAACATTTAGCAGTCGTTGCCTCTAGGGAGAACAGTCACCACTGCACAACAGGGATATTTTGCACTAAGTACTCCAGAGATGCCCAGACTGAGAAGAGGTATGGAGTATCTCATTTGTGCAGATTGGATTCATCACAAGTTTACTAAGTCAAGAAATCCAGATAAAGTGTTTCAGACTTCACCTGAAGATCATGAAAACTATGATCGGGATCCACTGCACCCTCTTAGGCTACTCTGCTATAGAATAAGAAGTACAAAAACACATCCATATGTTGAAAAATTTGTAATAAAGATGCTTGGATTAGAAAAAGCACATACTCCTCAAGTTCATAAGAATATCCCTTCAGTGAATGCATAACTGAAAGTAGTTAAACATTTGATAAGAATGAAGCCCCTTAGTTGCCACAAGGATTTCCAGTGGAGGAGGACATGGCTAATGTGCTTCAAGAGCATTGGGAAATTAGTAATGGGTGGCACCTAAACCCTCTGGGCCACAAGGCTGTTAAATCTTAATGCCAGAGCAGTTTCAGATTAAAAACTGCAAATCACCATGGAATATTACTCAGCATTCAAAAAAGATAAACACATGCATTTTGCAGCAACATGGATGGCGCTGGAAGGAATCATGCCCAGCGAAATAAGCCAGAAAGAAAAAGAAAAATACCGGATGGTCTCACTCATAGCAGGAATCTAGAAAACTTAAATAAGGGACCAGGAAAATGAATAACTATAAGAAAGTGAAAATCATAATCAACAAACAACTATGAACCAGAGACACTCCATGAGGGCTGGGGGGGCTGGGGAGGGGAGGGATTGGGGTCAGAATGGGGGCTTGCAATTGTATGGGGAATATATAAAAATAAAATTTAAAAAAAAGCTGCAAATCATTTTAATTTAAATATAGTGAGAAAATGTTTTCAACAAAGCATTTTAAATAGTAAAAAAAAAATATAGGGAAATATTTATCACATGTGCTGTGTAGCCTTGAACCACTAAAGTGCAGAGTAAGCTTCATCCACAGGTGGTTTGAATACTGATATATTTATTAAGATACCATATTCTGGTAAACCCATGTTTCTCTGCAATGGTAGAAATAAGATTTTTCTTGTTAAGACCACATAGAAGAGCTCAAACTATATAGTTGTATTACAAATAGAAGAGTAGCAGATCAGAACAGTTTGCAAATTCAAAGTTTTTTTGGGTTCTCAGAGTTGGGAGGTGGACTGGTCTTCAGTGATGGAGGGGGGGTAATTACCGATGATATATGGACTTGAAAATCTGTGAAGTTCCTTCCACATCTATACATATGACCTCTTATCTACCAACAGGTACAACTGTAACAGCTTTAAGATTGTTTAAGAATCTACCTGTAAGAAAGCAGTTTTACTCAACTGCTAAAAAATGTAAAGATGAATTAAAAAAGGTCCAAGATCTCCTCATAAGCTATGGTATACTTAAACCTGACTTGAGGATTATGTTTGTACATAACAAGGTAAGCATTATTGTACTTTTATGGTTTTTGATATATAATAAAGGTGTAGTGTGTTTTATTTAAATCAATGAAATATTAAAATCTAAAATTTGTTAACATTTGTTTAGTTTTATCTTTATTATATAAAGGGCATCTGAAATTCATTAATATCCATGTGAAATCTGATTGAACATTTGATTTCTTAATTTCTTGGAGCAGTGATATCACCAACAAACTATTCTATTCAAGAAATATAAAAATCAGTATGACATGTTCTTTTCCTTTAAGGAGTTCACAGTTTAGTAACATTTTCACCTCTAGTCTGTTTCTTCTTTAAAAGAGGTTTTATCCCCCCTTTTTTATTTTGAAAGAAATGTACCTCCTTTTCATTTTTCAAAACAGGGCTAAAGGGATTTTTTTTTTTTTTTTTGGCTGTTGCAGGATGAATTTTAGGGAAAAGAAAGGCTTAGGTATTTTCAGATTATTCTATTTTTTTTTTTTTAATAAAATTCTACATGTGCATCTTGAAATACTTAATGGAAGGAAAGCAGACCCACACAGAAGTATGAAGACCTGATGGGGAGTTAACATCTGTTGAAGCCCTACGCAATGCTGAGACTTAGTGTAGGTACATAAACCATTGAAATCCATAGCAATAACTGAGTGAAGTAGATGTTATATCAGTTTTGTAGTTGTTCTCTGAAAGGAACTCAGAAGTTTAATATTTTGCTCACTATTGCACAGCTAGAAAATTGTTGCAGTGTTCTTTACTTTCTACTTTGTTCTTTACTCATTTTACTGCAACAGTGCATTTGTATAGTTTTTCTCCAATGTTCAGAGCATGTACAGTAACTGAGTAAGCATTATTTCTATCTGAATGTGAAGGTCAGAGTGATCAAAGGAATTATTTCATAGTGTATAGTATGTAATAGTGCTGATGTCATAGTCCTTTATTTTTCTTTCTACTTCATGCATTTTTACTTGTTATTGAGAAGGTTCTGCATAAAACCAAACTGTGGTAGAGCATTATGATCAAAAGCTTAAAAAATAAAAGAGAAAGAAAGATATTTAGAATCATCAGCCACCTGTTCCTCCTGGCATAAAGTTCAACCAAATGATACCTTGAGATCCTTTCCAGCTCTACCATGCTTTGATTTCTTGCAGTTTTGATGGATGGAGACTCATCCTGATATTGTTAATACCAAAGGTCATTTAGTAATTAAAAGTTAAATGTGCTCAAGTTGAGAAAAGATTAAGGGCAGAAGAAGCAATGATCAGGAAGGGAAAGCATATGGGAAATGGAAAATATGAAGGTAGGAATTACATATTTATGACAGAAAAGTTAGTACAACTAACAAGTTTTGAGTAAGAGTATGTAACTAAAGAACAGAACAAGATTATTGCTATTTGTAATAGAAATGAGTGTTTAAAGCCAAATATCAAGATATATCTTCAAGATCATCAGTGTATACATTTTCTTTTTAGAATGGAATGTAATACACTGCATTTTTTTAATTCTTGGAAGGCCCCCATATCTGAACTTATATTGAACAAACACATACTCCTTATAGCTTTCAGTAATTTCAGAAGCTGTCAAATCTAGCAGGGTATGTTGAAAGTGTTATATCGTGAAAGTAATGTAAGATTATTAAATATCTTATAATAAAACTAAGTATTAGTTATGACTACCCGAGGAAATCATGGACTGAATTAAAACAAGCAGTGTACCTTTAAACTTTTTTCTCTTAGTACAAATTATTTCTCTACTTTTTTATTTTTAAACATGCTGTTTAATTGTACTGTTAAATCTCCCAAAATTATGATGGCACATTATCATAAATCTCTTTGACCATTGAGTCCTACTCTGCTGTTAGCCTTTTTCTTTTAACCATGCTTTTATCATTCTTTATGTGCTTTTTTGAAGAACTTTTTTGTCTTTACTTAACATTTAACCATAACTATTGGCATCTTTTCTTTTTGTAGATATTTTTTTCTGCATTAGAAACAATCAAATTGCACATAATATGAGAAGTACTATTGCTATTTTGACATCTTGGATTAGATAGTGTTCCTTCTTTTATGAAGGTTTAACCTGCCAAGACATTCTTTGAATACTGATAATGTTGATGTTCTTGCCAGTATGGTTATGTTAGAAAGAGGTATTTTTCTTCTTTCATCACCATGTTCCTTGAAAGCATATTGAATAATGAGACAGCCAAAGGGAAATAATTTACAAGTGAATTCAGTGAGTTTATTTAAAGTTGATATTATTTGGAGAAATGCTAGAGCCATTTATTGGACAAACACTATAGTTTTCAGCATTAGTTGTGATAACTGAAATCCTTTGAGGTCCTGATGTATATGCTTTCATTTATAAAGTACTTATTTCCCAGAATTAGGTTTTTTTTTTCACCCAATGTGATAATACCTGAAACCAACATAGTTTTCTTAGATTATTTCATATGTACATGAATTATTTGGCAGACTGTTACTTCAGGGCATATGTTAAATGTGTGATTTTAAATAAAGGATAATATTTGTACTTGATACTAACTTGTGATTATCTTACTTTTTCTGAAATATCATGTGTGCTTTTAAAAATTGGTTGGAACTGAATTTTATCTTGATAGAGTCCCACTGCTATTGCAAAAGCTGAATTGGATATCATTGACACAAGAGTGTTTAGTTGTTAGAAAAGAAAGAAAAATATTTTAAGAAATTTCTCCCCCTCCTAACCCATCTGCAGGTCATGTCACTGTAAGCTTCTGGGATCTCTCTCTCTTCTTTTTTTAACATAAAGCACATACTTCTTTTTTATTTTATTTTAAGATTTATTTATTTATGCATACAAGAGCTGGGGTACAGGCCAGAGATGCGGGGTGGGGGGTGGTGAGAGGATCCACCTGAGACAGAGTGGGGAACAGAATAGGCAGACTGAGGGAAATACACTGCTGAGGGGAGCAGCTGGCTAGACACTGGCGATTGAACACTGGTGATTGACACTGGGGATTCAGTCCACCAACTGGGGATTGAACTCGTGCTGCAGAGGCTTCGGATTGCTTCATAGTGCAGTACTTAACCCCTTGCGTCACCGAGGAGGCCTTTATTTATTTGTTTTGTTTGTTCTGTTTACACATGCACTGGGTACAGTCAGAAGCGCGGGAGGGTGAGAGAATTCACCAGAGCCAGAGCGGGGAGCAGAGCAGGCAGAAGGACCGAAGTACACTGCTGAGGGGAGCAGCGGGCGGCAGGAGAGGTCTGCGCACCATGTGGGACCCTCCTCAGGTGGCCGGGGAGCAGCTGGGGATCGAACCGGCGCCGCAGAGGCCACGGGCAGCTTCGTAACCCAGCGCTCAACCGCTGTGCCACCGGGGAGGCCCACGACCCAGGATTGAAATAGTGTGAAAGGGTCATCTCCAGGTTTTTCTCCCATGTCCCAGCTATGGTATGAAGACAATATAGTCAAATAGACCTTCTAATTCAGGACTGTGATTCAAATCTGGCTTTCTTATATAGAAATTATTCTTCCAGTGCCACCTTTTAAAGTTTGGATGGGTTTTATTTTTGCTCTTTTTAAAGAATCATTAGAGGTGTAAATCCCTTCTGATATAGTTTAAGGTTTGCTTGGAACATTATCAGTCATGATTTATTGGTCGGTTGGGTTATTTGGGGATTTTTTGTTGTTTTTTTTTCCTCATAAGCTACTGATAACTAAAAAATTTTAAATAGTTCTCATGTTTTCTTTTTTGTATTGTTTTACTTTCACCTAACTTCTGTTAAGAATTCCATACAAAAGATGAGACACATATATATAAGTAAAATTTTAGTGTAGTTGATTTGATTTTGATATTTATCCATACTGTTAAAGTATGAAGTCTTCTGTCTTCCATCAAGATTTAGTTACTCCTGAAGTTTTTCGTAGCATTTTCTACATATTCCTATTGTGTCATTTTTGTATTGTCGGCAATGACTTGCATTCTATCTCCCCTTCTCAACAGCTTTTTGTGGGATGAAGAACTGCATCTTATTTGTTTCTCTTCCCTATAATTCTCACTTAGTACATAGCAGAATACAAAACAAATTAGGTAGTGCTAAAATCAAAAAACATAAATTTATAAAGCATAATTTTTGACCACTCTGACCGTTTTCACACTCCTCATAATACTAATTCATGAAGCAAAACCATTTTTGAGACATCATCCTTTCATATTTCCTAGTAACCTGTTATATTTTTACAGATTATAGGGTCCCTTGTATACATAGTATACATACTATTCTAGTCTATTTCCTTTGCTGGAATCTATGTAACTGACACGTGTTCATTAGGACTGTATAAAGGTAATATATAAATGACTATGTAAAAGAAATATATAAAGATTTTCTATGAATACAGCAATGTGGGGAAACACTTGACAGTCACCAATATTCACAGTTTAATATATTTCTCTTAATTTAACTAAGTAGAACCATATAATTATTCTTTTACAGGTCCTCTAACCAAATACATTTTATATGCTCGCTTACTCTTTATCCTGATACATTTCTCTATTCCAACACAGTAGACATCTCTTCTGATCAGTAATTACCTGAGTCTTTTACAAAATCTGACTTTTTGAGTGTAGGCCAATAAAAGTTGATCAGATGATTTCTAAGACCCTTTCAACTCTAAAACTTTGATTTTAAGGATGTCTACATACAGCTTTAGCACTTTGATTTCTTTCTTTACAATTTAAATTTCTGTAACTTAGCAGTTCTAATGAAATGATTCATATCAAGTCATAAAATAATAGGAGGTAGAAGCATCCCACATCTTTACAAGTTGAAAGGAACCACTGAAAATCTTTTTTGCCCTGCCTCGAAATTTTTAGTAGAGTGTTTTTGTTCCTACCCCTCCCATTTTACTTTATGAGATCCAAGGATTGGAAGGGATTGCATAATATTGATGTTGATATAGCAACTGAAGTTTAGAACTGAAGTCTAGATCTCTCTTAATTTTTAATGCTGCATTCATTCTCCTTTTCTATGGCTTCTTCACACCTACTAGAAACAGTTTTTGAGTAGGTTCTATGGAATATTATTGTATGGCTTACTCTGTAAGAGCTCACAGTACAAGTGAGGAGGTAAGATGTGAAAGTGTATAAACATTTAAATTAATGAAAAGAATAATGAAAACATTGTTGAATGGTTGTCAAATGATATCTGTAAATGCTATGGGATTTAAGAAAAGGAAAAAATTACTTCAGACTAAAATGGCCGGGCAAGACTTCATGGTGGGTGTCTTTTGATGTGGATCTTTTTGTGGATATTTAACAAATATCTTGATTAGGTTGAAGCTGATGCTGAGATATTCAGTGTGTGAAAATAGGTCTTACCCCCATATAAAATTTCTTACTTGCTCTGAACAGATGAAATCTCATTTACCTTTATCTAGTTTTTTATATTCTTACTATATTTATTCAGTTTCCTGACTTTAGATAACATTTTTACATTGAGGACTACTAAATATTTATCTTCATTCTGTTACTCTCCCCTGATCTCTGACTCAGATCTAGCTACCACCCCAAATCCCAAATCTCTCTTTTCTGTTCATATATTTATCTAGGAGAAGATAGCTGTAAATGCAGATCCAGTTATATTAACTTATAAGATCTGAAGAAGTTAAAACATGACGTTTAAGAAATTCAAATGTGAACTTCTTGGTATACTTGTGCATCCAATTTGCATCAAAAGTTTCGTTGTACTAAACCAATATGGTTAATTTTTATTTCATATTTATATTCCACATTTTATTTCATATTTCATATTCATTTCATGCCTTTACTCAGCTAGCCTTAATGGCACTGCATTTTTTTTAGTTACTTGACCATCACCTCTGTGCTACCTTCTTTTCCCTACTTTCACAAACTGCCTTCACAATTGAGATTTAATAATAAAATACTGAGTATTCTCCTCTAACTTCAAATACTATAGGTCAGTGAAGTTGCAACAGTGGCAAAATATACTTGGCTAACGTCAATCAATTACATGGTGTGAATGTAATAATATATTTTTGATCGAGGTGTTTTTGCACTGTCATCATACTGACAAGAGTCAGATTCTTACTTGGCACATCCAGATGCTCCAACTTTGTGTGACCTAGATAGACAATATATGGGGGTTTGTGCATGTATTTTTAGCTCATGTTAAACTTTCAGCCTAAAGACAAAATATATAATACTTTAGGAAGTGCAGAGAAAAATCTCTTTTAAGAAATAATAGAGGGTTGATGAAATGGTGGGGAAATCAAACTAAACACTTCGTTATAGAAAATATAGTATTTAGAAATTGAGTTTCTTCTAGATCCTTCATTTTTAATTACCAGTTTATTGCTTTATTTTTAGTAATTAAAATTTTTGAAAATGAATCTTAATTGCCTGAATAATAGTGAAGATTTAACTTGCTGGCAGGCCTTTTTATTATTAATTGCTGGACCAATTGTTTTCGCTTATTTTATGTTTTAAAAGAACAAGTTTATTAGGGAAAGAAAAAAGAAAAAAAAAAGAAACACGTGCATAGTCACAGGCAGGCAAGGAGGAGGGCTGCCTCAACTTACCTATTTTAGATGCTCCTGAATTAGATTAACCTCCTTGACCTGATGTCATTATTAGTTAGTGTGAATAATTATCCAGAATTACTAGTAATATTTACTTTTAAATCATGTCCTCCATATTTCACAGTCCTCATGTTTTGCTTTTCTACAATCCATTTCCTCAAGTGATTTTTTTTTACAATTCTGTCTACTAGTTCTTTAATAGTCAGATAGGTCAGATAGTAAAATAGCATTTTTTTTTTTAAGATCTATCCATCTATACACACAAGAACTGGGGTGAAGACCAGAGGTGTGGGGGGTGAGAGGACTCACCAGAGACAGAGTGGGGGACAGAACAGGCAGATTGACTGAAATACATTGCTGAGGGGAGCAGCAGGCAAGCCAGGAGAGGTCTGCTGCACCATGTGGGCAGCTCCCCCACCGGGGATCAAACTCGTGCTGCAGAGGCTGCAGACAGCCTTATAGGTTGTGTTTCAACCCCCTGCGCCACCAGGGAGGCCCTAAAGTAACATCTTTGCCTTGATCAACAGCTAAGATTCATATCTTAGGCATCACCTGAGACATCACTCAGTATAAACTAAATTAACAATGTAATGTTTACATTAGATGTATCACAGGCTATATGGCTGATTTCAGTGCAGAAATTTTAAAACATTAGTTTTTATGGAAATATTTTCTTAACTATTTTATGTATTTATTTTTCTAATATGTATGTGTGTCAGTATCAGATAGCTTGACCTGGGAAAAAGAACTTTTTAGTGAGTAAGTTTTACAGCTCAACTATTTCTTGTTTGTTTTTTTTTAACTGTTCCTTTTTTTATAAATTTTATTTTTTATTTTTGTGTAGAAGAATTAGGGTGTGGGCCAGAGATGTAAGGGGTGAGAGGATTCACCAGAGCCAGAGTGGGGCGCAGAACAGGTGGATCTCAGCACTACTGCAATCCTCAGCAAGGAAGCTAACCCACATTGCACAGCAGACCTCTCCTGTCTCTCTAGCTGCTCCCCTTAGCAGTGTATTTCAGCAACTCCTTCCTCCTATTCCGGTACCTCTGGCCTACACCCCAGTTCTACACAAAAAATAAAGTTAAAAAAAATAAGTAATACCTTACTTGGAGTAACACTTTTTAAAAATACACTCTGACGTGTACACACTGACATGAAGGATTAGAATTAATATTTAATGAAACTTTCACACCATGCTTTGGCCTACATGTTTGCCTACATTATATATTTTCATCTTCTAACAACAGTTGGAGATAAATATTCTAAGTCATCTTGTGGAGAGGAGAAACTGAGGTCAAGGGAAGTTAAATAGGTTGTACATTACCACATAGACAGCTTCTAAAATTTAGAAGGAGGGTTCTTTTAGAGTTTTAGCTCAGTCATCTCTTCTAAATGATAGTGAAAATATAAGCTAGAAACTAATGCTAAATATAAAAATAAATGTTTTAATCACTTGATTTTAGTGAATTTAAATTGTGTTAAAAGTTGTCTTTGTCATTTTGTCCTTAGGCAGTTATTTGGCAGAAAAGTAAAGTATCGGATCATAAGATGGCTCTCATGTCTGTTCTGGGAACTGCAGTGATGGGCAATATGGAATCCTTTCAGTACCACGCTGAAGAGTCTCAGGTATAGAAGTAACAATGTTCTTCAATAATCCCAATTTACCACTGAAACTATTAAACTATTTCCTTTTTAGGGAGTTCGGGTAGCAACAGGTTTTTCTTTTTATCACATATATGTGTGAGGATAAAAAGAAAATGAACATAGAACTTATATATTAAACCGCTTTGCTGTTTTTGTCTTTTGTTGCTTTTAATTTTCAGTAATTGGCCTATATTAATCTTTTTAAATGATTTTCAGCTTAGAATCTCATCTCTTTACATTCCAATATGAAAGAAAAAGAGTTGAACTCTCTTTGTTTTCCCTTTCCCATCTGAAATATATACTCTACCTTCCTTTTCCTGATCTATGAACTTCAAACTGGACTTGAGTCCCTATATTGCTGAATAAAGTCTTTAACACTCCCACTTTTACTTGCCCTTTCCTTTCTCAATCTTGTCAGCTCTACTTTTATGTTATCAAGCTTAATCTATTTTGTTCAAGAGTAAACATTTTTTATGTCTTCCATCTTTTGTTTGAAGATTGATTCTAAATGTTAAAACTTACATGGAGTAGGGCCTCCCTGGTGGCGCAGCGGTTGAGCGCTGGGTTGCGAAACTGCCCGCAGCCTCTGCAGCACCGGTTCGATCCCCGGCTGCTCCCCGGCCACCGGAGGAGGGTCCCACATGGTGCGCAGACCTCTCCTGCCGCCGGCTGCTCCCCTCAGCAGTGTACTTCGTTAGTTGGCCTGCTCTATTCTCCGCTCTGACTCTGGTGAATTCTCTCACCTTCCCGCGCTTCTGACTGTACCCAGTGCTTGTATAAAATAAATAAATAAATCTTTAAAAAAAAAAAACTTACATGGAGTATATATTATTATAACTGAGTAATCTTTGATGCAAACCCAAGTATCATGCTTGAATTACATTTCCTCTCCAAGAATCCATTGTTATGTCTCTGCCATACATAAGAGAATATTTCTTATCAATCTAGTTCAATGGACTAGCCTTTCTTAGTTTCCTTATTCTTGTTCTTATTTTTTTTTTTGGCCTCTGGTTAAATTTGTTTTCTTTTTTTTTTTTTTTTAATTAGATAATAAATTTTATTGTTATATTCCCCATACAATTGCAGCCCCCCCATTCTGACCCCAATCCCTCCCCTCCCGCCCCTGCCCCCCTAAAAGTGTCTCTGGTTCATAGTTTTTTGTTGATTTTGATTTTCACTTTCTTATAGTTATTCATTTTCCTGGTCCCTTATTTAAGTTTTCTAGATTCCTGCTATGAGTGAGACCATCCGGTATTTTTCTTTTTCTTTTTGGCTTATTTCGCTGAGCATGATCCCTTCCAGCGCCATCCATGTTGCTGCAAATTACATGTGTTTATCTTTTTTGAATGCTGAGTAATATTCCATGGTAATATATATGTACCACATCTTCTTGATCCAGTCATCTATTTTTGGGCATTTGGGTTGTTTCCAAAGCTTAGCTATTGTAAACAGTGCTGCTATAAACATAGGGGTGCAGGTGTTCTTTGGAATTGATGTTTCTGTGTCCTTTGGGTAAATACCTAGGAGTGGAATTGCTGGATCATATGGAAGCTCTATGTTTAGTAGGTCCAGAAATCTCCACACAGCTTTCCACAGTGGTTGGACCAGTTCCTTATTCTTGTTCTTAATCTCCTTTCTTATTCTTTCTTATTCAGTTGCTCAGAATTTGTCCTATTTTTCTTTGCTTGGGAGCTTTCCTTTAACTTTATTTTTAAGTTTTACAGGTCTGTCTTTTATTATGCATTTACTTATGCTGAGCACTTAGTGTGAATCCTTTGAGTCTGAAAACTCAGTTGTTTTCAGTTCTGGATTATGTACTTCCATCTATCATCACTTTGAAAATTTCTCCATTGTTTAGTCAAATGCCTTCTTATTTAACCTCCTCTTATTAGTCCCTGTTTTCCCAAGTTTTCCATCTTTTATTTTTCTATAAGCTTTCAGAAATCTGATTTTATCTTTTACTCCTGAAGTTTTCAATTTTACTGGTTTTTCATTGAAATAAATCTTGACTCCCTGAAGATGCTAAATTTTCGTGTCTATTTTAAGTTATCTTTTACTTAGGAGATCAGTTTTGCTTGCATCCTGGTTATTTTCAATTTCCTCTCATTCCCACTGTTTTTGTTTTTGTTTTGTTTTTTTAATGAATAGGAAGTCTAATTGGAAACTCAGTGTTTGTGGCTGTCTTATTGACAGTCAGGCTGTACTTGAATGTTGAGGAATCAAGATTCTGATCCATTTCAGAGTCTGTGGGAACAAGTGCTGTTGTGGGATAGGGTTTACTGTGTATATTGATCCCATACTCATTGCCCCAGTTCTTCTCAGGAAATTTATTTCTTTTTTCTCCCTTCCCTCCTTTCTCTATTTTTTATTTCTAGTGGAAAATTAAATTAATTGAATTGATTCATAATTTTGATTGTCCTTTTTTCTGTTTTATAAAAGAGTCCCTTTGTTATTCTTGTTTGTTTGTTACTTTAAACCTGAAGGCTCTCTGTTCTGGTGGACAGTTGGCTTCTTTGTTCTTTTTCATAATTTGTTGAAGTAATTTTTCTGCTACTAGTTCCCTTCCTGTTCTCTCTGCAGTATTGAGTTATTAATTGTTAACATCTCTCTGCCTGAGGAACAATTCAGACCAGCCTTTGGGCAGCTGATTTTCAGAGCTCCCTTACTAGTTGTTTAGTAGTTTTGACATACCCCATTGCCACCATAAATTGGTTGTATTGACTGACTTAAGGTATTACAGGTGCTGTCTAAATTCCTCTGCAACACCTGTGGCTTCATGGAACTTTGTTGCCTGCACTGGTAACCCAGAATCCTTGTGCCAGAAGATACAGACTTGATATCTGTGGTTTCTTGCTTGTAAGGTTCTAGCTGTCATAGCTTGGTCTGAAGACTAGCAGATTAGCATCACAGAGAAACTTGTTAGAAATAAATAATTTCAGGCCTCATTCCAGATATAACAGTACTGAAAAAGAATCTGCATTTTAACAAAGTCCTCAAGAATATTCTTAGTTATGAGAAGCCCTAATTTAGACCTGGTCAGCTATGATCCCATGTGGATTACATTGTCACAGAATCAGTCCTACCATTGAGAATGTCTTTCTCTGACCTGTATTGCGATATGTATTATTTTATCTGTCTTTAGATTAAAGAGTTAATTTCTAGGCTGCAGGTAATTACAGATATTTGTATTATGTTCATATGGTTATTTTGGCAAGGAGGAATTGGGGAATTTGCACAATGTGTTGCTGAGTAGTTCCAATTCATAGGCTGTCAGAATGATAAACTTTTAAATGTCTCTCTGATGAAGTGATCATTTAACCAGATCCCTTTTCATAAGCGCAAATGACCTAAATGAGTATGTTGCCACCAGCTGTACCCATCACCGCTCTGCATTTTCTAGATTTGTAAAGGAGAGTTGTTCTATATTGGAGTTTCTTTGGCCCCTTCTTATTTCTCACCAAAAACAATCTTAGGTTGTTTGCCAACTGCTACTGCTTGGCCTCTCACTCTGCTTCTATCAATTTGTGAAACTGTCATAACTTCATTTTGTGAAACTTAGGCTTCAGGACTGGATTGTGATGACAGATGGATAGACCATTGGGAACCCTAAGTGTAGAGAATCTTTGTATAGTTCTGTCCATAATGTTGAGGGCCCTTTTCTTTTCTACAGGGATTTCATGAGGGAAAAATCTCCTAATTATGGATTGTGGTTCTACCTCTGCTGTTTCCCATTGAGGTTTTTAGGAGGCTTCTGGCTTTATGGAGTTCCTCAAGGTTTTCTCTTTGTATTTTTTGTTGTTTGTTTGTTTTACCATTTATCTTCTCTTATTTTTTTTAAAGATTTATTTATTAATGCATATAAGAGCTGGGGTACAGGCCAGAGGTGTGGGGGGTGAGAGGATTCACCAGAGACAGGGTGGGGAAAAGAACAGGCACATTGACCAAAGTGCACTGCTGAGGGGAGCAGTGGGTGAGTCAGGAGAGGTCTGCTGCTTCATGTGGGTTGCTCCGTGGCTGTCCGGGAATCGAACTCCTGCTGCAGTGGCTGTGGATTGCTTCGAAGGTTGCGTCTTAACCCTTGTGCCATCAGGGAGGCTCCTATCTTCTCTTATTTTTACTCTACATTATTCCATGCTAAGTTCTAGATGAAGTCAGAATTGCCTGATTTTTATTCTCAAAACTGTATTTTATTTCTAGGATTCAGTATGTATTCATTTTTCTATTCTAAGTTTGATTTATAGCTACTAGTTTTTATTTCTTTATATTCTGGGTACTTTTTTAATATTATTTTTCATTACTTTATTAAAAGCATAGTATACATACTAATTTCAAAGTCCTTTTCATAGTTGCCCTGCCATTTCTACTTTCTTGACAGAAATGATTATTCTTTTATTCTGTGCAATTTATATTCTTTGGAATTTTAATTTGCAAAATCATCTTGAATGCAGGTTTTTTTTTTTTTTTTTAATTGTTTTGTTTTTCCCTTCCCCACCTTCTCCCTCTGCCTACATTGGCAGAAACTACCCCACTCCCAGCCCCAGTTCAGTACCAGGTATTCATATTAGTAGTTCATGCTTTTCATAATGACAAGATTTTACAGACTTATCCTAGCCAGTTTGGCTTAGCTTTGTTCTTGGTTTTGGAATTGTCTGTGCTCTTTCTTGTGACTCTAGTATGCAGCTCCAAACATTGGTCATAGTATTTTTAAACATTTATTTTTGAAGGCAAGGGGTGGGGAGGGCATTTTAGCTGCCCATTTCAAATGGAAAAATTGATTTCGATTCTCGCCTTTGTGTGGGGTGTCTTCTTTCCCCATTTAAAATAAGAATTTAATCTCTAACTGACACAGCTGATTCCTTCCTTCCTTCCTTTTTGAGATACAATTGACATTAATTTCAAATGTACGACATGATTTTATATATGTATGTATTGTGAAATGATTACCACAGTCATCTAGTTAACATTCATTACCACACATAGTTAAAAGTTCTTTTCTGACATAGCTGTTTTCTGATCCTAGAGCACATAAGGCTTTTTTTTTTTTTTTTTTTAAAGATTTATTTATTTATTTATGTATTTATTCATTTATTTATACAAGCACTGGGTACAGTCAGAAGCGCGGGAGGGTGAGAGAATTCACCAGAGTCAGAGCAGGGAGCAGAACAGGCAGAAGGACTGAAGTACACTGCTGAGGGGAGCAGCGGGCGGCAGGAGAGGCCTGCGCACCATGTGGGACCCTCCTCCGGTGGCCGGGGAGCAGCCGGGGATCGAACCGGCGCTGCAGAGGCTGCGGGCAGCTTCACAACCCAGCGCTCAACCGCTGCGCCACCGGGGAGGCCCCACATAAGGCTTTTGATTTTTGCCATCACTCCATGTTGTGTTTGGTATCCGTATTATCTTTTTTTCTCTATTTTTTTTTTTGATGTTGCATTTGTTTATAACACTGTGTTTTTGTTTTTTTTTTTTAATATTAAATTTTATTTTTATATTCCCCCATACAATTGCAAACGCCCCATTCTGACCCCAATCCTTCCCCTCCCGCCCCCCACCCCCAAAAAGTGTCTCTGGTTCATAGTTTTTTTGTTGATTTTGATTTTCACTTTCTTATATTCATTTTCCTGGTCCCTTATTTAAGTTTTCTAGATTCCTGCTATGAGTGAGACCATCCGGTATTTTTCTTTTTCTTTTTGGCTTATTTCGCTGAGCATGATCCCTTCCAGTGCCATCCATGTTGCTGCAAATTGCATGTGTTTATCTTTTTTGAATGCTGAGTAATATTCCATGGTATATATGTACCACATCTTCTTGATCCAGTCATCTATTTTTGGGCATTTGGGTTTATAACACTGTGTTTTTAGCATACAACACTTCTTCAAATGTATGATACCCACCATCAATTAGTAACCCTCCACCACATTTTGTCTTATTTTTAAATTTTTAGGTCTTTTGAAAATTTTGTAAAAATTTATTTTATCTATCAGTATTATGCATGTACAGTTGAGATGGGAGAGAAGGAAATTTCCTAATGAACTATTCCACTGTCCAGACCAGAAGTGCTTAAATTACTACTTTAGAAACATAACTCCACAGTGTTGCAGAGGTCTACTGAAAGAGGAGAAAGACTAATGTTACACCAGGCAGGGTTATTTTAACAGAATCTGGGGGGAAGAGAGGAGATGGGAAATATGGGAGGTTGGGAGGTGACAGAACTCTTATTATGGTAAAGGAATATAAGATGAGCCAGTGGGACAACAGAATGGAAGTATGGAATATTTTATAAAGTTTTGAATGTAATGAGTTCGAGAAAATTTTTGCTACAGCTAGTCGAAGATAGTATTTGGGAGTAAAAGAAATAGCTGTTGACATGTGTATCTTAGCATCTCTGGTGTATATATATGTGAATGACATTAATCAGTAAGAGTAGAGAACAAGGAAAAAAGTACCTGATAATGGAACTCAGGGGACTGTTATCCTTTAGAAGGGGTAAGAAGGGGAGAAACCAGCAAATCAGGCTATGGTATTCTTCAACATAAATAGTAAAACAAAAATCAAAGGTAAAATATAAAATATACTTCTCCTCTGACAGCTCAACTATGAGCTCTTCTCTCTCCTTCCATTCATCTTGTCCGCTATAATCTAGTTTATACCCCACTGACCATCTCCAGTGGACTTTCAGACCTTCTCTGATTTGACTCTGACACCAATGGCAACTCTTTCCTTTGGGAAGCATGAACCTCTTTTAGCCTTCTCTTTTGATCTTTCTGCTTCCTCTCTATCACTATGTTGAAGAATACTTGGGTACAGAATCGTGTAAGGTCCATTTAATGTTTTATTTTGTTGCATTGGTTTGAACACTCACAGGCATTCCTTTTTCATGAACTAGCCTGATCCTCACTTTTTATAGTATTTTGTAGGGCTTTACTGCTTGATTTTATTTTTCCATATAACTGAGAGTTTGTTAGTATCCTAAGAACTATCTCAGTAGCCAATCAAGGTGGTGTGAAAGGAAAACACTAGCAATAATTCCACTTGATTCTTCATTCTATTTTTTATTCTTACCTATTCAAGGCAGTTTTTGTTTTGTTTTGTTTTTGCTGTTATTTTATTTTCTTTTTTTAATCCACAAGACTGATTAGTCTTTTAGAGACTAAACAAACTCTCTCTGATGCTTCAGCAGGTGTTTTAAGAAGAGTCTCATGTTACCTGGTAAATTATGTAACCATTTATAAATACTGTGAGGTTTTACAGTTAATTAAGCAGTATCATTTTGTAATGTATTATCCAGCTTTATTAATTTATTTTTTTAATTGCCACAATTTGGCACTGTGACAGTAATGCACTTAGTGTTCTAAAATTGCTAATGCATTGCCTTAAACACTTATTTCCAAGGGCTGGGATAGTCATAGACATAGGTGGCAATATACAGGCTAAGTTGGTAAGGAGGCTAATGGTTTCAAAGCTTAACTAAAAATAGCACCCCAAGTGAGTCTCTTGCTTTCCTAAACTTAAGGTGAAATTTTACTAGTAGGAGTAGTTAATAACACATCTGTTTCCAGTTGTTTCAGATAAGAGTTTATAGGCCTGTATTTTAAATTTCTTGACCAAGGTTATATAGCTAATGAAACCAGAAGTAGACAAGTTAAATCTTGTTATTGTTGCTTTATTCTATATTCCTAACTGTTCTCTGTATTATCTTTATTGGTTAAATTAGAAGCATTTCCTTGCCCTTATATCCCTTAATCTCTCTTCATTCTGGTCATTTTTTCTGAGATCATTTATTTTTACATCTCCTTAATTTTTACATACTTGCAGAGAAGGAGAGCATATAAATAATTGTTTTCTAGAAAAGTTCTCTAAACAAAAGCACAACACTATAAATCAGTGACAAAGTATGAGATATTTTTTAACTAAGAAATGAAAACCCAGTCATACTTACTTCATAGCCTAAATGAAAACAGCCAGTCCTTTATAGGAAAAGGTAGATAAAGAGAAAAGGACAAAAAACCAGAGAGAAGTCATACAGTGTAAGGACAAAAAATTTTCTTAAAGATGAAGATAGGGCTGAGTAGAGTAGTACTTATGCTGTCATGTCCTGTGATGGTAAAATACATTCACATTCATGACACTTTTATGAATGCCAGTTTTTCCTTAAAAGAGTTGCAAAATAGAATGAGAAGTAGAAACTCCTAGTTTAACATGCATCAGTATTTTTTTTAAGGTTATACTAAAGACATGATTATTAGGAAGTACATGGCTCTTTAGACCTTAAGATAAAGATCCATTTGTTTATTTTTTATACCTTTTTTTTAAAAAAAAGATTTTATTTATTTATTTATACAAGCACTGGATACAGTCAGAAGCGTGGGAGGATGAGCGAATTCACCAGAGCCAGAGCAGAGAGCAGAACAGGCAGACTGACGAAGTGCACTGCTGAGGGGAGCAGCAGGCGGCAGGAGAGGTCTGTTGCGCCATGTGGGACCCTCTTCTGGTGATGGGGGATCGAACCGGCGCTGCAGAGGCTGTGGGCAGCTTCGCAACCCAGTGCTCAACCATTGTGCCACCAGGAAGGCCCTATTTTTTATACCTTTTTTTTGTACCTTTCAGTGTATGTGGCCAGACCTAGAAAAGCACATTTATTGTTGACATTGCATATTAATTTTGTAATTATTACAATTACAGATTTATCTAAGTGGATTTCTTCCAAAATATGACGCAGATCACTCTTTTACAAGTCTTTCAACCCCAGAAAAGAGTTTCATCTTTATAAACAGTCGACCAGTACACCAGAAAGACATTCTAAAGGTAATCTATCTTATATTTTAGAGTATATTTTGGAAAAAAAAACCACTTGGATCAAAAATAGAAATTGACTTTGTCATTTGTCAGCTTGTCAGAAGTACTAATTCTAAGAATTTGCTCTAAAATAAGGGAAAGGGAAGAATGAAATACAGTAATATTCTCTAAACATTGTGCTAAGTACCTTACATATGTTTCATTGACTTTTCACAACAACTCTGTGATGAATTATTATTTTTATTTAAAGTGAGGAAACATATTTTAATGAGTTTTTTAAACTGTATAGTCAGGAGATAACAGAATTTAGATTTTCAAAACTTTCACAACACTGTGATCTTTGTATTATGAAGCCAGCATTAGATTGGATATTTGTACTTTTTTTTTTTTTTTTGAAAAAATTTTTATTAATTAAATTTTTTTTCTTACATCATTGTAGTCCCCAGAATTCTCCCACCACTGTATCACCTGTGAACCATCACCATATTCCCTTGTGTTCATCCTTCCCCTGGTTTGTCCCTACTCCCACCCCCTCCTCAGTTCTATGGTCAGCTTGTTAGTTTTGACTTTTTCTTGACCTTTTGTTTAGTTTCCCTATATTCCACATACAAGTGAGGCCATCCGGTATTTATCTTTCCTTCTGATTAATTACAGCTAACATAATCCCTTCCAGCTTGAATGCCTGTGCTTCCTTAGATTTAAGGTTTCTGGATGGATATTACTCTTTAAATACTTTTTTCTAAATATGCAGCTGCATCCCCTCAGTGTCACAGTTGAATGTGCTCCTTTTGGTGGTATTTTAAGGATGACAATACTGACTGTATTTACATGGTGTTTTTATCTTTTATTCATTACATATCTTCTATAGTTAATCCGACATCATTACAATCTGAAATGCCTAAAGGAATCTACTCGTTTGTATCCCATTTTCTTTTTGAAAATTAATGTTCCTACAGCTGATGTGGATGTAAATTTAACACCAGATAAAAGTCAAGTATTGTTACAGAATAAGGTAACCTTTTTCATATAATTTTTTGCATTTATGCTATTTACAAACTTCTAGAGTCCTAGTCATTTTCATGTATCAAAGGGAGATTTACTTGTTTATATTTTTGGTTTTACTATTTCAAATTCTGTCTTTTTTTCCCCCATAATTTCGCCTAATATTTGTTAACTTGTATTTTTAGGAATCTGTTTTAATTGCTCTTGAAAATCTGATGACGACTTGTTATGGATCACAACCTGGTACAAATTCTAACGAGAATAATAAAACAGATGTTTCCTCAGCTGACATGATTGTTAGTAACATAGCAGAAACAGATGTGCTGTTAAATAAGATGGAATCATCTGGAAATAATTACCCAAATGTTGATACTTCAACCTTTTCTTTCCAAAATGCTATATATAATGATGAATCTGGAAGCAGCACTAATTCTTGTTTAAATAATCAGATAAGGGTTGATGACCATTATGACGATCATTTCAGTCATGAACTTTCTAGCATTGATATGAACACTAAAAATACACTTCAAGAAACCCCAATGGATAATTTATCATGTGAGGAAGTCCAGAAGGACAATAGTGAAACTTGTTTTGTAAGTTCTGTTAAGCATGCCCTATCAGAAAATGTCAATAAAAGCCCTATAGATCAGAGTGGGAAAAATAAGGAAGAACCAGTTCCTGAGAAGTCTTTGGAAATTTGTGCAGATGACTGGAGCAGGGGAAATGTACTTAATTCAGCAGGAGAAAACATTGAACCTGTCAAAATTTTAGTGCCTCAAGAAAGTTCAACAAGTAAAGTAAGTAGTAATAATCATCCTCGTCCAAGCCCTGAGCAAAAAAACCTCAGTGAAGGTTCTTGTAACAAAAAATCGAATGTGGTAGATAATAAATCCGGACAGCTTACCGCTTATGATTTAATTAGCAATCGAGTAATAAAGAAGCCTATGTCAGCAAGTGCCCTTTTTGTTCAAGATCATCGAGCTCAGTTTCTCACAGAAAACTCTAAGAGCACTTTGGAGGATGCAACAGTACAGATTGAAGAACTGTGGAAGACATTGAGTGAAGAGGAAAAACTGAAGTAAGTTTCCAGAGCTAGCATATGACCTGAATGTTCAGATATTTCCATTCTATATGACTCACTGTGTCATAAAAAAAAAACCTTAAAAAGTTATTTATGGAAAAGCAGATTGGAATATGCCTTTTAACTTGGCTAGTAACTTTTCTGGTATCACCTTTTTTGTAAATTTAGAAGTTTTTAGTGTTGTTTTTTATTTTGGTACAAGCCTTAATTGCTTTCTGATTTATTAAGTTTTTAAACATTTTCCATTTTTTTTTAAAGATTTATTTTTATACAAGAGCTGGGGTACAGGCCAGAGGCGCGGGAGGGTGAGAGGATTCACCAAAGACAGAGCGGGGAGCAGAACAGGCAGACGACCAAAATACACTGTTGAGGAGAGCAGCAGCCAGCACAGGACAGGTCTGCTATGCCATGTGCGAATCTCCCTGGCCCTCTGGGATCAACCACACTGCAGAAGCTGTAGACAGCTTCACAGCGCTGAGCTCAACCCACTGCGCCACTGGGGAGACCCTGTTCTTTTTTTTTTTTTTTTTTAAAGATTTATTTATTTATGCATACAAGAACCGGAGTACAGACCAGAGGTGCAGGAAGGTGAGAGGATTCACCAGAGACAGAGCGGGGAACAGAACAGGCAGATCTACTGAAATACACTGCTGAAGGGAGCAGCTGGCCAGGAAGGAGAGGTCTGCTGCGCCATGTGGGTTGCTCCCTGGCTGGCTGGGGATTGAACTCCTGCTACAAAGGCTGCAGATAGCTTCATAGTGCTATTCTTAACCTCTTGCACCACCAGGGAGGCCCAATATTTGCCATTCTTGATAACTTAAAACTACTTTCTTCTATTTCCTTTTTATTTTATGTTCACCTGTGCAGTCTGTCTCTGGTGGATCCTCTCACCCACTGTATCTCTGGCCTGTACCCCAGATCTTGTATGCATAAATAAATAAATCTTTTTTTAAAAAAAAAGTAACTGTCCATATATGTATGATTTTAATTATAGGCCCTCAATTCTATTCCATTGGTCTGTGTTTCTGATTTTGTACCAGTAGCGTATTGTTTGAATACTGCTCTAATAGTATAGTTTGAATTCTGGGAGTGTAATACCTCCATTTTCCATCTTTTCTCTCAGGATCACTTTGACTGCTTGGGGTCTTAAGTGGCTCCATACAAATTTAGAATTATTTCCTTGAAAAATATCCTTGGGACCTCCCCTGGTGGCGCAGTGGTTGAGCGCTGGGTTGCGAGGCTGCCTGCAGCCTCTGCAGCGCCAGTTCGATCCCCGGCCACCAGCGAGGATCCCGCAAAAAAAAAAAAAAAAATCCTTGGGATTTTGATTGCATTGATTTATAAATTACTTTGGGTATATGGGTATTTTAACAGTGTATACTCTTTAAATCTATAAACACAGGATATTTTTCCATTTCTTTGTGTCTTATTTCCTTTAACAATATCTAGTGTTTACTCCCATGTATTTCATCCTATTTGGTGCATTATAAATAGGATTGTTTCCTTAATTTCCCTTTTGTCTAGTTCATTTGCATATAGAAATAGATAGTTGTACATTAATTTTATATCCCTTTTAACCTTTATTATTTCTACTAGTTTTTTGGTGGACTCTAAGATTTTCTGTGATTGTTATCATATCTGAAAAATGATTGTTTTACTACTTCTTTTCCAATTTGGTTTCCTTTTCTTTTTCTTGCCTAATTGCTCTGTCTAAAACTTCCAATGCTATTTTGAACAGTAGCAGTGAGAGTGGACATCCTTGTCTTTTTCCTGATCTTTAGGGGAAACATTTAGTGGTTTTTTTTTTTTAATATTTTATTTTATATATGCTTGCATCATTTTTCATTTTTGCACAATGTATGCATTTTCTTTTTTTTAATTAAACATTTTTTTTAAAGATTTATTTATTTATTTATACAAGCACTGGGTACAGTCAGAAGCGTGGGAGGGTGAGAGGATTTACCAGAGCCAGAGCGGGGAACAGAACAGAACAGGCAGACTGACGAAATACACTGCTGAGGGAGCAGCGGGCGGCAGGAGAAGTCTGCTCGCCATGTGGGACCCTCCCTGGCGGCCGGGGATCAAACCGGTGCTGCAGAGGCTGCAGGCAGCTTTGCAGCCCAGCTCTCAACCGCTGCACCACCAGGGGAGGCCCCAATGTATGTATTTTCATTTTGGTTATATTCCCCATATAATTGCATCCCCCCTTATTTTGACCCTAATCCTTCCTCTCCTCACCCTTACCCTTCCCCTCCCCACTATGTCTCTGGTTTGTAGTTGCTTGTTGATTTTGATTTTTACTTTGTATTAATTAGTATTTTTCCTAGTTCCTTATTTAGGTTTTCTAAATTCCTGCTATGAGTGAGACCATCCGGTATTTTTCTTTTTCTTTCTGACTTATTTCCCTGAGCATGATCCCTTCTAGGTCCATCCATGTTGTCGCAAACTGCATGTGTTTATCTTTTTTGATTGCTGAGTAATATTCTATTGAGAAACACTTAGTTTTTTTATCGAGTATGATGCTAGCTGTGGGTTTGTCCTTTGTGATCTTTATTTTGTTGAGATATGTTCCTTTTTCTAATATATTAAGAGTTTCTGTCATAAATGGTGTTGAATCTCAGCAACAACAAAGAAAATAATCCAGTCAAAAAATGGGCAGAAGAGCTAAAAAGAAACTTCTCTGAAGAGGAAATTCAAATGGCCAACAGACATATGAAAAAATGTTCAACATCACTTGTAATCAGGGAAATGCAAATCAAAACTACCATGAGATACCATCTCACACCAGTGAGAATGGCACATATTAAAAAAACTAGCAACAACAAATGTTGGCGAGGGTGTGGAGAAAAAGGAACTCTTCTGCACTGTTGGTGGGAGTGCAAACTGGTCCAACCACTATGGAGAGCTGTGTGGAGATTTCTGGACCTACTAAACATAGAGCTTCCATATGATCCAGCAATTCCATTCCTAGGTCGTTACCCAAAGGACACAGAAACATCCATTCCAAAGAACATCTGCACCCCTATGTTTATAGCAGCACTATTTACAATAGCTAAGCTTTGGAAACAACCCAAATGCCCAAAAATAGATGACTGGATCAAGAAGATGTGGTACATATATACCATGGAATATTACTCAGCATTCAAAAAAGATAAACACATGCAATTTGCAGCAACATGGATGGCGCTGGAAGGGATCATGCTCAGTGAAATAAGCCAAAAAGAAAAAGAAAAATACCGGATGGTCTCACTCATAGCAGGAATCTAGAAAACTTAAATAAGGGACCAGGAAAATGAATATAAGAAAGTGAAAATCAAAATCAACAAAAAACTATGAACCAGATACACTTTTTGGGGGGTGGGGGGCGGGAAGGGAAGGATTGGGGTCAGAATGGGGCTTTTGCAATTGTATGGGGGAATATAAAAATAAAATTTATTATTTAAAAAAAAAATAAAAAAATAAAAAATAAAAAAAAAATGGTGTTGAATCTTGTGAAATGCTTTCTTCAGTATATTGATATGATCATGTAATTTTTATTTTTCTGAAGATGTTAAGATAAATTGATTTTGTGTATATTAAAACAACCTTGCATCCCTGGAATAAATCCCAATTAGTCATGTGTGATTATCTTAATGTATGACTGGATTCAATTTGCCAAGATCTTATTAAAGGTTTTTACATCTATGTTGATCAGAGATATTGGTCTGTAGTTGTGTGTGTGTGTGTGTGTGTGTGTGTGTTTCTGGGATCAGAGTAATGTTGGCCTCATAGAATGTGTTTGGGATTATACCCCCTGTCCCTCATAATTTTTTTTTTTTTTTTGACTGCTTTCAGAATTTCAGCTTTATCTTTGGTTTTCAGTAGTTTGATTCTAATATCCAATCTGTTACTAAGATTGGGTAATTTTTATCATTTTTCTTAAACTTATAGACCCTTCATTTTTCCATCTCTAATCAGCTCTTAAATCCACCTAGTGAATTTTTCATTTCAAATATTTATTCAGTCCTAGCATTTTCATTTCTATTTTGTTTCTTTTTATAATTTCCAAGTCTGCTGAGATTTCTCCTTCTTTTCTCTCATTTTCATCTTTTTCTTTAAGCTCTTAATTTTTATTAAAAACTTAATTTTTAATGTTGGGTTGTTTTTTGTCAAATTCTAACACTTGGGTCATCTTGAGATTGGTTTCTACTGACCAGTTTTTCTCTTGAGCATGACTCATATTTTCCAGTTTTATTGCTTTAGTGATGGCATTTGACTCTATATTTATTGATTCCTTACTGAAAAATCACCTGAAGCTTGTGTTTTACACTTTGTTAGAGAGATACCTTAAATTTTGCCCTTAGTCCTAGGGCCTCTTCTTAGTTCTTGGCTATAGTTTTTTTCTTACATCTATGAAAAAATTTTGCCTTCCTCCAGTTTTAATTAAAAGTACAAAGTGTTTACTAAGTCATCTTATTATGTGGAATTCAAATTCCAAACTCTTATTTCCCTTTAAATGAGCAGCCACGGAAATCTCTGTTTAGCTCATTTAACTTTTCAAAGGTTGTTTTCCTCCAGCCTCCCACATATGGGGTTTTCTGGAATTTCTCCCTCAATTTCCAGTTGTTTTAGAAGAAGGGAGCTCTGTGTTCTGATGACTTAGGCTTGAAAGAGTCCAGCTTTCAGATTGCTTTCTTGCTATTTTCCCTTAATGGTGGTGACTTCCCTCTGGGTAAAGACTGTATAAATATGAATCTTTCAGTTTCTGCTTCCTTTTGGTTGCTCTGTAGTACTTATTTTAAATCGGTGATTTCTTTATTTTGTTCAGAGTTTATATATATAGTAATATGTACATGGGTTGGTCCAGTACAAACTCCCTCATTATCAGGTCTATGATGACAACTCTTTGTTTTCTATAAAATTTACTTCAGACACTTAATATATTTCTTATTATGACCTCATTAGTTCTATTTTATTTCTATTCATAGATATGAGGAGAGGGCTACTAAAGACTTGGAACGATACAATAAACAAATTAAGAAAGCCATTGAACAGGAGTCACAGATACCATTAAAGGATGGCAGAAAAAAGATAAAACCCACCAGCGCATGGAACTTGGCACAGAAGCACAAGTTGAAAACCTCATTATCTAATCAGTCAAAACTTGATGAACTCTTTCAATCCCAAATTGAAAAGAAAAAGAGCCAAAACATTAAAATAGTTCAGATCCCGTTTTCAATGGAAAACTTAAAAAACAAAATGCGGAAACATAAAGAATTTGACTTAGAAGAGAAGGAGGAATTTCGTTTGATCCATAATCTCAGGTTTCCCGATGGTTGGCTAATCACATCTCAATCAGAGGTAATGTTATTAAACCCATATAGAGTGGAAGAAGCCCTGCTATTTAAAAGACTCCTTGAGAATCATCAGCTTCCTGCAGAGCCACTGGAACAACCAATTATATTAACAGAGAGGTATAGTAAAGTAACTTTTTTACTCTAACAATATTTATTAATCCATATGAGATTAGAAATTGAGGTTAAAAGTTGAATGTTTTTCCTAGTAGGAAAAAGTAGTATTTATTTAAAAAGTAGTATTTATTTTTTAGGTTTACTTCTTAAAACTTGATTTTAATCTTCAGTGGAATTGCTTTTAAATAAGTTTTAGAATATATAGTTTACTTTTGTAGTTATTGAATATCAAGTTCAATTTTCCTTCTGTGCATTCATGACTTCCCTAGAGAAATTTTGAATTAGGTTGCCATAATTCTCCTTTATTAGGCATCCTACTTTAACATTTCAAACAGACAGTAAAATGGAATTATATAGTGAATACCTTTATCAACAAATGTCAAGCTTTTACTACATTTGCTGTCTACTTTTATATATATATATATGTATATGCATATTTTCTTTCCTTTACCTAAAGTATTTGACAGTTTCTATTCCTACATCTTTTACCATATCTGTCTCAAAAATGTCTATTTTTCTACCTACCATGTGTCTTTTTCAGACACATTCATTGGCATTCTTCCCAATTTTCTTAAACTTTTTAATACTTTGTAAATTTTTAATATAATTTGCATTTAAACAAGGCCCAACCATTACATTTCCTTGCCTCTTAAATCTCTTCTGATATCACAGTATTCTTTATTGTCATTGAGTTATTTCATTGACCATTCCATTGTCTTGATTCATCTCTGTGCCTCCTTGAGGTATTGTGTAACTTGTTTTTCCCTCTCCTCAAATGGAAATTAGCTCAGGAAGATAGCATAGATTTAGATTCTACTTTTTGGTAAAACTGCTTTGGTAAAACTTCATGTTTCATCTTATCACTGAGTCAGTTGATGACAGCCTATCTCTACCTTCAAGTTCCCTCACACCCTTTCCATTTAATGTTTTCACCCACTGATGATTGTTGCCTGAACTATTTTTATCATAGATTGTTACATGGGGTATTTCTTTTTGATATCCTACATGAACAAATTATTTTCTGTAAATATGAATACTATTCACATTTCCCTTTTTTATACTTAATGTTTCTTTTGTAGTCTGACATGGGTATAGAGGATCATGTGTACAGCAAAAGATAAAAACCTGTAATTAAATTTTAATAAGAATTTATTCTCTACAAATCATTAGATAACTTTCAGAAATTCTAAGAATAAATCAAGAATCATTTATAAAATATATTAAAGCCTTTGTTTTAAAGATCCTCCACCAGAAGGAAAAAATAGAGCCAGAACACAAGAAGGCATTTGTTAAAGCTGTCTTTTAATTAAACCAACCCTGGTCAGATTAATTAAAATCCAGTGTCTTTCATAGTATTGTCTTAAAATTGATTTAGAAAACTGTCAAAGGAAAAAAATCCTTAGGATGTACTAAAAGAGCTCAAAATCTGGTGGTATACTATTTCTTCTTCCCTTAAAAAGATCAAGGGTTATCTGAAATTTTAACTAAAGGGTATTTGTAAACTTTAAGTTAGACCTCAATAATCTTTTTGTGCTAATAAGTTTTTAAAAATATTTTTTTCCTTGTGATCTTCTGTTACTAAAACACAAATACATGAAACACTATTATTTTGTACCCATGTTAACCTGAAAATAATTTTTTCTTATTTGAATGTGAACAGCAACAGAGCTTAATTGAAAATTGTTTGCACCTTTTTTCTGAAATGGGGCATCCCCATCAATTAATAATGTAAATTTTTTAAAATTGACTCTTGGACAGGGTAACTATAGGTTGCACTCCATATTCTCACCAGAGTTCTAAATCAGATTGCATTTTTTAACTCTGAGTGGAGTAATTTTGATATCTATAAGAATAATAATGGCTGTTGTTATTGAGCACTTAATATTTGATAGAATCTTTGTGAAACTCTTTGCTTTAATCATCTTATCTGCAAAGCTTATGCAAAATAGGTGCTGTCATTATCCATATGTTATATTGGAGGAAACTGTTCTGAAGCACAGGACAGTTAAGTAACTTAACAATGTTTATACACCAACAAATAAGCAGTGGGTCCAAAACTACAATCTAGACAGTAACATTACATTATTAGTTGCTGCACTATATCATCTTCATCATCCCCACTACCAGCTCTGGCTCTCAGACTGATTTTATGAATGTTGCTTAGTTCATACAGAGTACATCTCATATATCGCTGAAGCCTTCCTCTCTATGATATCTGTTCTCATAGCCAAATGGGTCCTCAATCTTATAGCTGTCATGAACAAAGACATTATTTATTTGTTAACATTTTCAAGGGATACAGGGAAAATGAAGAAATAGCAATTCATCATCCTTCATTGGAACATAAAACAGTGCCTTGCATGCTTAAGACAAATATTCATTGAATGAATAGGAAATGGTAACCTTCCACATGTCAACCCCCAAAATACCGTCTCTTAATGATAAGTTATGAATCACCTTGACCAATCCTAAAACCAACATGAAAGGTTAATTTGTGCCATAAGTAATTTTGACTACCTCATAATTTTGTTTAGATCCCTCATGATCCAGAACCATTTTGAATACCACCTTTCACAGACATGCTGCACATACAGTGGACTGAAGGATGCTCTCCCAAATTCCAAAATAGTAAATTATATTAAGTTTCTGGATATATACATAAAAGATATATGCTGATCTTTTCATTGTTGATAAAAGATATATGCTGATCTTTTTATTGTTAAACAGCTTAACAATACCCACAGCCCTCGGACCAACTTGATCTTTTTATAGTTGATGAAACCTTGACTAGCAATTGAAAATTATGTAGAATGGACCACTTGAGTAACATAAGAGTATTATTATGTCTGCTTTAAAGGTACAAAGGGGCATTACTTATAAAGTTTTCATTTGTATTATATGGAGAGAACAGAGCTTTTGATTGCTTATTTAGTTTGTAAATTTGAGATGTCTGCTAGGTCTATTCTTTTTGTACACTATATGCAGTAGGACTTCTACGAAATATAAACAAATATAAAAAATTAAGTTTCTCACAAGGCTGCTTATATCTTTGTATTTTGGTTTCTGGTAATAAAGCTTTTAAAGATCCCTTGGATTAACTTTTTTTCCATGAATCCTCCATTTTATTTTATATATTTAATAAATTAAAGGGCCATCCTTTTTTCCCCCCCAGTCTTTTTAATGGATCTCATTATTTAGAGATTTTATATAAAATGACATCAGATGACCAAAGATACAGTGGATCAACTTACCTTTCCGATCCTCGTCTTACAGCAAATGGTTTCAAGATAAAATTGATACCAGGTATGATTATGTGTTTTAATATTTTGTGACTTGGAGAAATAAGTCTTGTTGCAAGAATTGAGGTTACAAAATTTAAAGCTATCATGGTATATTTTTGTCTCACATAAAATAAAATGTCAGCTGTATAAAAAGTAGTATTTCAAGGAAGGTCACCTTTGCCTGAAACAAGCAAGTTGTTGGCATCTGTTTCAGTCCATTTCTTGCATTTTCATCTTCTTAAATAATCAAGTAAACTCATAGTCATTTTTTGCCATCATTTGTTACAGTATTCTAACTGTCTGTGTAACTAAATTATTAAATATTCCTTCATATAGTGAAACACAAATATGTTGAATACTGTAATACCCCAACACAATGCACATATTCTTTCCTTTTAAGAAGCATTTACTTGTTTTGCTGATTAGACTTCTAATAACAATATTATATCTGGAGAATGAATGCTCTGATTCCATTGCTTTGCTATGATAACATTATTTACTTAGTATAGAAATTCACTGGGTAGGGAGAAAAACAGAAAATCCATCTGACTAAGAAAACTTTGATTTTCCTGGCTAGCCCTTCTCTGTTTTCTCATAGTTTCCATGCTTAACTGCCCTCTGCTGTAGCTTCCTAGATAGATCTTGTTTTATTACTTTCCCTTCATCTGGAATCAAGGTACACACAGGCACTAGGAAGAATAATTCCAATGCCCTCCCTCTTGCCTACCCCTAAACGTGTCATGAACAATGTGCAAAAGCTTATTAAGTTCAACCAAAAGTGTTGAAGATATCTAAAAGAATATTTTATTGACAAATGAAAAGAAGCTAAAACAATGTACAAAACCATCAAATTAGATAAATACAGAAAATTATTTGTTGTTTCAAATTTTAATTAATTTTCCTGACTTTTGCAGTTTTAAGGATACCTTCCCTAAACTTCTTACCTCTTTCCTCAATCACAATATTTATATTTGGAGTGAATTAGAGTTCAAATTCCAATTCTTTCATTTAAAAACAGCGTGTTCTTGGAAAAATCATATGTCCTCAATATTTCTTAATCAGTTACAAATAGCAATCATTAAATAATTATGTACATGGCACTCTCCAAAGTATTAAATGTATTAATTTATTTAATGCTAATAGTCCTATGAATAGTTTTTAGGACTGTTCCCCATTTTACAAATGGGAAAAAAATCAAGACAGATGAGTTTTCTTAAGGGTACATTGAACCAAGACTAGAACCCATACAATATGTCTCAAAACCTAGCTCTTAAGTAAGTGGTTGTATTGTTTCCCTATTAAAATTGAGATATTTACTTAATAGTATAATTGTGCATGTTTTAAACAAGGCACTTATATGAAATCAATTGGAATAGTACTTAATAATAGGTGTTCAAATATTCTCTTTTCTTTCCTTCTTCCAGCCTCCCATTTGACCTGAACTGACTTGTCCTAGAAATCATTGTCCCTTAGGACCCCAGTTATCTTTTTAATGTATTTGAAGTGTGAAGCAAGTGTTGTATATGTATGTGTACAAAGATACTTTTTTCTTGACTTAATCTGTTATTCTAATTAGCTATGTAGCATTTGTGTCAGGTGCCATTTGTCCATGGAAAATGTTACAGCAATTTTTTTTTTTTTCACTTTGGTAACTATCCTGTCTGTTCCCAGAACATGTTTATTTTTGAGGTCCCCAGTGAGTTTCTGTCTAACAGATGCTTTCAACTCTTAGTTTATGGATCATGTTTTTTAAATCCTGTTGAATGCCAGGTACTTTTCATGGGACCAAAGATATAAAAATGAATAAAAATATCACCTGCAAACTAATTTTGATTGTGATTAACTTTATTTATATTATTATCAGAATTATTTTTCTTGTCAATTTAATAGATCAAGTTAAACTTTTCTATTTTCCTTCATTAATTTTTATACTTTTTTTAAAGAGAGTTGTTTTTTTTTTAAGATTTATTTATTTATGCATACAAGAGCAGAGGTACAGACCAGAGATGTGAGGGATGAGAGGATTCACCAGAGACAGAGTGGGGAACAGAACAGGCAGACTGACTGAAAATACACTGCTGAGGGGAGCAGCGGGCAACACAGGAGAGGTCTGCTGCCCCATGCAAGTTTCTCCCTGGCTGGCTGGGGATTGAACTCATTCTGCAGAGGCTTCAGATTGCTTCATAGTGCGGTGCTTAACCCCTTGCACCACCAGGCAGGCCCTAAAGATAGTGTTGATGTATTGGACTAGTTTGGGGTCAACAGTGCCAGTTGTCACAAAGCATCTTTGGAAAAAAATAAAGGCCTTTAAAAGAGGAAGAGCAGGGGCATCCCCTGGTGGCACAGTGATTGAGCGCTGGGTTGCGAAGCTGCGCGCCGCACCTGCAGCACTGATTCGATCCCCGGCCACAGGCCAGGGTCCCACATGGTGCGCAGACCTCTCCTGCTGTCCACTGCTCCCTTCAGCAGTGTACCTCGGTCCTTCTGCCTGTTCTTCTCCCCACTCTGGCTCTGGTGAATTCTCTCGCCCTCCTGCGCTTCTCACTGTACCCAGTGCTTGTATGAATAAATAAATAAATCTTTAAAAAACAAAAAAAAAAAGAGGACGAGTACATCTGACTTCGAGGAAAAAGATTTAAATGTGACCCTAAGCACTTTGTTTGCTAATGGGGATAGCTTTCTGTTCTGTAGCGTTAAGAATTTTGTATTTTAGGAAGTGAACATTTGTTACAGACTCATTTCAAATATTTTCCCTTAAAATTGGGAAGCGTTTTACAGAACTTTTTGGGAATTCCTTGAAAGTTTATTGTTACATAGTTCTAAATGTCTGTATTAAATTTTCCGTATCTGAATTTTGCAGACACAGGGATTAAAAATACTTTTTACCCATATCTACAAGTAATTCTGTGAAATGTCTATAATTTCCTGGGACAAATTAGTCAGTATTAGACTTTTTTAATACAATCATACTGTAAAAGATATAGAGCCAGCAATAGTAAAATATCTCTTCTACTGATATTTTTGTAAATTTTCATATCTGTATATATGTAAGGTAAGAACTCTAGAATATTCTGCTACTTTTTTAAACCCTGTGTCAAGACCCATTTTGCTCAAACACCCTTGGTTGCTTAAACGTTCATTCTGTTTCCCTTCATTAAACTTCGTGTTTTATCCCTAATGTTTATATGTCTTCTTATATTATTCTCTTATAGTTTTCTGGTAAAAATATTGGTATGCCTGTTCTGCATCATTATAGCTTCCTTCTAGTCAAGGAGTCAGTCGAAACTAGGAAAAGGTTAGGGACAGAGTCATTGACATCTCGGGATCTTAATCCCTTCAAACTCCTTTTTTTTTTTTACTCATCCATTAAGGGTACTACTTCTCCAGAATTGGACTGTCTTCTTTCATTTCTTCTAGGTAATACAGCATGGACTTTGATATAAGAACACTATTAAACAGACATAGCTAAAATATCTCTGCTATTTTCCAAAGTCATAAAATGATTCTAAAGCCAGATGCGATCCTTTATGCTGTTATGGCATGCCAGCGTGTAGCTACTTTTTAGTTTTATTTTAATCATTAAATTATTTAAAATAGTTGGAATAACTTGTCGATCTTAAACATTGTCCTGGTAAAATACTTCAAAACTAACATTATTCCTCAAATTGTTAATCTATTAATTAATTACTTGCTATGGTGCTATGGTAGCTATAGAAAGCAATATATTACTTGCTATGGCTCATTTTATATTATAATAAGCTATCAAATCAGTACTTTGTAAACCTTCAACTTGCACAGTGTTTATGTCAATTAGATCTAAATAGAGCTGGAAAAGTGTTACTCTATGAATATTTTTTAATTTTTAAGTCAAAATAGTTACATCCTTTAAGTTGATGTTAAGTCAGTAGGGTGATTTGAACAGCAACAGTTGTTAAAACACTTAAACCTGTTTTATTCTAATAAATATCATGGGACTCAATTTTCTCTCCAAAGTAAGAAATGTTCTAAACAAATGTAGAAAACAGAACAGCAATAATGAAGATTAAATTAAATGATATAAAGTACATGTGGTGTCTATGAGCACTTATGATTTAATATGAATGTACAATCCTACAGGAAATTATTTGTTCTCCAACCAAGGAACAAAACTGTCCCCACTATATTAAATTCTAATGAGTGTTCTCTAAATGTTTTAACAGTGGTCTTGTTCTTAATAGACATTTTCTGGAATACAATTTAAACTATATATGTGATTTTCTTTTTTCTTTCAGGAGTTTCCATTGCTGAAAACTACTTGGAAATAGAAGGACTGGCTAATTGCCTCCCATTCTACGGAGTAACAGATTTAAAAGAAATCCTTAATGCTATATTAAACAAAAATGCAAAGGAAGTTTATGAATGTAGACCTCGAAAAGTGATAAGTTATTTAGAGGTATGCATTATTAGATTAAGTTGCTTAGTTAGGTTTTAAGATACTTGTTTCTTAAAACAGAAAATGGTTTTAAGATGGTAGTTTTAGTAAGGTTTATTTGTTTGCAAGAAGGAAACGCTATTAAGAAAACTCCATTAAAGTTTTACGTCATAGGTTGTGGTAATGTCTATTATAAATCCTTACTTTAACATAATTTGTTGAGTAAATATTGAGAAAGAGCTTTATGAATTAGAAGTTTCATAGTGCTCTCTTTTTTAGAAGGGATTCAAAATACTCACTGAACCTTTATACCAACTACTTTGTCTAAAGAAGTGTTGTATGATTTTAAATACGAATCTCTTCAACAGCAAAAGAGTAGGGAAAATAGGAAAGATTATTGAATAAAGGGAAATTTTGGTTTTCTATTAATATCTACTGTAATAAGAAATTAACTAGGTTAAAAAAACAAATTCAAAGGTAATAAATGGTGAGGGAAGAATATAAACTTTTAAATGTCCAAGTAAATGGCAGTGGTGGGAAAATAGCGGGGATTATCTCTAAGTTTAGGGTTCTAGCTATTCCTCAGAGTTGACTGGCATTATTTTATAAACAATGGAAAAGGAAGTATACTTAGGAATAATATTTGAATTTAAAGTCTTTGAAGTATATTTTTAAAAAAATTTAAAAACTAGCTTTGCTACTACTATTTTACCCCCAAAGTCTCAATATTTCCTATCTCAGACCAAATTTCTGACATTGTCCTTGATTCTGCATCCCTCAAAACCAAATAAATAAAACCATAAGCAAATCTTGACTCTACCTCCAGCTCATGCCAGCTATCACCCTTCTCAAAAATTTACCAGAACTGCAGTGATTGCCTGCAATACTCACTGCCTCTCTTTTTGATCTGCCTCAAACAATTCTTCATATAGCAACTACACTGATAGTTATAAAATGTGAAATAAATGTCAGATTCTTGCTTTAAAATCCTTTGGTTACTTGCCTGTATATTTAGATTGGCACCCGAATTGCTCAAACTGTCCTAAAGGGTTATCTGGCCCCTGCTTAACACCCTTTCTTGTTCCTGTCTTTCCTTTAGTAACTCTTCTGCATATACACTATTCAATTCTGTTCCCTCTGCTTGAAATGATTTTCTTTCCCCATGATCTTTGCATCATAGTTCCTTAAGTAAATTAAAATTTAAATGTCACTTCAAGGTAGTGACAGTCATCAACTGTTATCTAGTTTAATCCTGTGCATTTTTTACTCCCTGAAATTTTGTCTTTTTTCCTCTTTTCTGTACCACAAGGTATATTTTACAAGAGCAAAGATCTGGTTTGTTTTGACACAATGACTACCATATGGTTGGTATTTAAAAATGTTTCTAAGTCAATGAGTAATAAAAGAATGTAATTAATTTTTCTTTGTTCCTTCTTGCCAGGAGTAACATGTTTTCTACTTCAGGGTATATCAATAAAATGAATGGCTATCTCTTCACAGGGAGAAGCAGTGCGTCTATCTAGACAGTTACCCATGTATTTATCAAAAGAGGATATCCAAGACATTATCTGCAGAATGAAGTGCCAATTTGGAAATGAAATTAAAGGATGTGTTCATGGCCGTCCGTTTTTTCATCATTTAACCCATCTTCCAGAAGCTCCATGAGTAAATGTTTAAGAAAATTAGTATTGAAATTAAATTGTCATAAAATAATATGGGTCACCTTTTCAGTCATCTTTGTACTATCGTGTTAAATGGTTATTTTGTAAGTAAGAATCACTGGCTTGTTTGTATATTGAAAAAAATTCCCAAAATAGAAAGCTTAAATAAATATAGACGATTAATTTTATATTTAAGAAACAACCTTTACAACAGTTACTGGTTGAAAACTCCAAAATAGGAAATACCTAATGTTATTGGATGGTTGACTTACTAGGTGCTATAAACTGAATTGCATATCCCAATTTCATAAGTTGGAGCCCTAACCTTCAATGCAGTGTTATTTATACATGGGTCCTTTGGGCAGGTAATTGGGTTTAGACGAAGTCACAAGAGTACTACCATCATTGTGGGATTAGTGCCCTTATAAGAAGAGTCACTTGAGAGTTTTCCTTCTGTTTCTCTCCTCCCCCACCACTCTCATGTGAGGACGGAGAAGGTGACCTTCTAAAATCCAGGAAGAACACTCACACCAGAAATCAAAGATGCTGGCTGGCATCTTGATCTTGAACTTCTAGCTTCCAGAACAGTGAGAAAATAAATGTTGTTTAAATCACTAGTCTATAGTATATTATTATGGCAATCTGAGCTTACAAACTGGGTCAGTCCTGTGCAGGGAGAAATCACACAGACTCGCTGGCATATCTGACAGAAGTTGTCAGTTTTACTTAAAATAGGATAGACAGTGGGAAAAAAAGAGAACATGAATTTCAGAGGAAGAAGGGGCATAGCTTTGAGAATTCTTGCTCTTACCTCAGTTTGGGGGGAAATAGCTTATAAATTGCTATCCTTTATATGGAAATTGGACTTTGGGGTAAAAACTTGTAAGAGAACATGGAAGAATCTAGATTTTTTTTTTAAGATTTATTTATTTATACAAGCTTTGGGCACAGTCAGAAGCGCGGGAGGATGAGAGAAATCACCAGAGCCAGAGCGGAGAGTGGAACAGGCAGAGTGACGAAATACACTGCTGAGGGGAGCAGCGGGCAGCAGGAGAGGTCTGTGCGCCCTCTGGGACCCTCACCCGGCGGCCAGGGATCGAACTGGCGCTGCAGAGGCTGCGGGCAGCTTCGCAACCCAGCGCTCAACCGCTGCGCCACAGAGGAGGCCCCTGAATCTAGATTTTTTTAAAAACAAAATTTAGGTGAAGATTACCAGATCTGGTTTCAAAAACCAGATGCCACTATACATCTAAATGCTTAATGTGCAAAAAATTGAAACTTGATTTTAATGAATAAATATGATGTATAAAGTAAGATGTTTTGTATTGAATACAGTTCTCCACAATCACACCATCTCTCATAATTTTCAAGGAGAATTTTAAAATTCTTAAGATTCTTGTGTTAAGTAGTACAAATTTTGATACCATGAAGATCCATGCATAGCTGGGCCATTTCTGCTAACTTTGTAGTGTTTCCCATAACCCAATACAATCTTTCCCTTCCTATTATACTTTGAAAATGTGGGTCCCATTCCTGTTCTCTTTGATTTACTAGGTAAGTTGTAGAAATAAGCTCAGAGATATAGAAGATGATGAAATATAAATTTTCTAGCTGGTATAGTCTATTGTTATGAGATCCTACAATGGCCTCTTAAGTGAATAAACTTACTTTGTGTCTTCATTTCTGCTTGAATTATGCCCAAGCCGGTTGGTAATAATGACTTCAGGTATTTACCACGTGTTTAGTAGAAAACACCATGTACTTACCTTGTATAAACTAATCCCAGTTACTGTTCTTAATCATTACTGTATTCCCAACTCTCAGAAATAGACTCCAGAAAACATTAGGATCATCTTAAGTATTTGGGAGAAAAAGAAAGTTAAAACATTGCCTGACGCCACTGTAACAAATGCTTCTGTAAAAGTGGACCAGCTTTGGGATACAACATTTTTCAACACTCTGCGATGGCAGTGGGAGGGAGAAGAGCTCAGTGGTTCCTGGTTGCTGGAGGAGGCCACACAAGTCCCGCTTCTGAGGGCGTTGCTCAGCCACCCTCCTCCCTCTCCCACAATGCCTTGCAGCAGCTGTAGTCACACCACCCACCGGACAAAATGGCTGAAGTGGGTGGTGGTGACGGTGAAGCCCTGGTTCCCAGGATGGAGGTAACAGGCCACTGCATGCTGGGGGGGGTGAGCGCTAGGTATAAAGCGCAAAGCCAGGAAATGAGAGGGAAAGCAAAGTGTCAGTCCGAATTGCCGATTATTTGCCTTACTAGGTTGGGGCTTAACTGGGGAGTGTGTGGGGTCTCAACGTGTGAATCCCCTAAAATGCTGTTGAAACCTAAGTCCTTGCTTAGGATTCCAGCCTCTACCATAGCACAGGAGACACAAAATTGCGCAGAAATGAGGCTGCAGATCCCATTTTGAGAGACCTTTTGTCTTGCGTGGTCCAACAATGCCAAGATTTCAGATACTTAACCTCAAAAATGTTAGACCCCAATTTAAATGGACAGATGGTTGCAGTTATTTTCATTGATTATTTGATTCCTTTTTCTATCCACATTTTGTGGCTCATTTTGTGGAAGTTGCAGTGATCCCACTGCAACCTACATGTCTTAACAGAAAATGTGAATATGATCTCTTTTTGTCCGGCTCCCAAATGTTGTGCCATCAACTTAAAAGCAAAAGTTGCCATGATATTAAAATAGTAATGATTTTAAAATATTTAAATGAATTAGACTTTATCTTGGAATTGGAGATGTCTGGATTGTTTCTGGCAAGCCAGCATTCATGGATTTACTGCTGCTAAAAAGGATGTTGAAGGTGAGCTAATTCAACCAATTTTACAGATGAGGAAATAGAATCCAGGGTAGTTAATGATTTGCCTAAGTGCATACATCTTTATCTAGTGCTCTTCTAATTCTGCTTCAAATGTTGCTCCCACTTAAATGTTAACTTTCAATCTTCAGTATCTTCTTTTTTTCCAATGATGTGATACTAGCAACACAGCATTTGACACTATTAGTGTCTGGAAAGTGGTTTTATACTTGAGTATTTTCTATCACCTTCCTTTCTTCTTTAGGTTGCAGTAACTTTGGTTTACAACACTGCATCTATTTAAAGATTATAGCTTCACACCTCGATAAATACACCATACCACTCACACCACCAAAGGCTGGTTACCACCATCAAAATGACCCCCTTTATCTGGTCCATCACCCTCCCAAAACCCCACTCCCATTTCTCCCTTCCCTTCTGTTAGCAGCAAATGGTTCTGTGGTGTTTGTACATTTGCTTTATCTTCTGCATGTAAGTAAAATCACAGTATCTGTCTTTAACTGACTTTGTTTAGCATTACCCCCTTCAGTTCCCATACTGTCACAAGTGGCAAGATTTCAAAAAAAAAAAATTTGTAGCTGAGTAGTATTCCATTGTGTATACATACCATATCTTCCTAATCCACTCATTATTAGGATGTCTCCATAACTTATTGATCATTCTAACAGGTGTGAGATACCGCCATTGTGGTTTTCTGTTTAAGTTTCAGATATTTATTAATCAGTGTAAACAGTAACACAATACCCCAACATGATTTTGGCATTTAGAGGAATAAAACTTCCTGGCTAGGTGGGAAATTATGTGAATGACTTCATTTTAAGCGACTTTATAGTGAAATATTACATTTAGACCTGTTGATCGTCTTTCTTTAGTTTACATTCAATGGGTAGAACTTATATAGATCATTGGGATTCAGTTTGTTCCAGGGTTCTGGGTTATTTTTTTTTGTTTGTTTTGTTTTTTTTTTTTTTAAAGATTTATTTATTTTATACATAAAATATAGAACTGGGGTACAGGCCAGACACACGGGAGGGTGAGAGGATTCACAGAGACAGAGTGGGGAACAGAACAGGCAGACTGATGAAATATACTGCTGAGGGGAGCAGCGGGTAAGACAGGAGAGGTCTGCCGCGCCTTGTGGGACCCTTGCTGGCCAGCAGGGATCAAACCGGCACTACAGAGGCTGCGAACAGCTTCACAGCGCGGCACTCAACTGCCTGCGCCACAAGGGGAGGCCCAGGGTTCTGGGTTATTCTCTCTGTTCCAACTGACATCTGGATTGAACAAAGCCAGAAGGATGACATATAGCAATGCCCCATATCTCCTGTTCAAATAAATTTGAAGAGGGAGATCAAGCTAGCATGCTTTGTGGCTTGACTGAGGATCTGATGGAGCATGGTTGTGGGACCAGCCTTGGACAGGGAAGGAGAGGAGAACAAATCTACAAGGCCCAGGAATAAGTCTCTCTCATTTTGGTTTTGACTTGTATTTACCTGATAATAAGTGATGGATGAGCGTTTTTTTAATGTGTCTATTTGCCTGCTGTATGCCTTTTTTTGGAGAAGTGTCTATTTTGTTCTTGTGCCCATTTTTTAAATTGGTTTGCTTTTTGTTATATGAGTTTATTTTAAATCTTGTGTATTAGCCTTTTGTCATATGCATGAATATCATTAAGTATTTTCTCCCTTTCAGTAGAGTGTCTTTGTTTTAGTGATAGTTTCTTTCATTGTGCAGAAACTTTTTAGCTTGATATAGTCCTGTTTGTGTTTGCTTTTGTTTCTCTTGCCATTGTAGACAAATCTACAAAGATATCTCTAAAGCCAATGTCATGGAGTGTTTTGCCTAAACTTTCTTCTATGTATTTTAAGGTTTCAAAGCCTTGTTCAAGTCTTTAATACATTTTGTGTTAATTTTTGTATAGGATATGAGATAGTGGCCCAGTTTCATTCTTTTGCAAGTAGCTATCTACTTTTCTCAACACCATTTTTGTTGAAGAGACTCTTTTCTCCAGTTTGTACTCTTGGCACCTTTATCATAAACTAGCTGTCCATATCAGATTAATTTTGTGATATACACTTTGTGATATATACTTTAATTTTTTGATATACACTTTTGCTGTACTGAATTGTTTCTATTTTTTTAAATGGAATCTTCATGGTTTTCTATGTATATTAGCATGTCATCTGCAAATATTAATAGTTTTACTTCTTTCCTAATTTGGATTCCTTTTGTATCTTTCTCTTGCCTAATTGCTACACCTGGGACTTCTGTTACTATGTTGAACAGTAGTGAAAGTGGATGTCTTTGTCTTATACCAAACCTTACAAGAAAAGTTTTCAATTTTTCAAAATTAACAATGTTGTTAACTGTGAGTTTGTTATATATAACCTGTATTATGGTGAGGTATGTTCTATATGTCCCCATTTTTTAGAGTTTTTGTCATAAAAGCATGCTGAATCTTATCAAGTGCTCTCTCAGCATCTATTGATATGATCATATTTTTATCTTTTCTTTTGTTGATGAGGTCAGTTACATTGAGTGATTGTTGGATGTTGAACCATTCTTACATCCCTGAAATAAATCCCACTTGGTCATGGTGTATTATCCTTTTACTGCAGTGTTGAATCCAGTTTGCTAAAATTTTATTAAGTATTTTTGCCTCTCTGTTCATCAGGGATATTGATCTGCATTTTTTTTTTTTTTTTACAACTTACTATGTGTCTTGATGCAGGTGTCATTGCATTTAAATAACCAGGTGTTCTTTTACCTTCATGAATTTAAATATTTAGTTTCTTTCCCAGATGTCGGAAGTTTTCCTCTATTATTTCTTTGAGTAAGACCTCTGTCCCCTTCTCTCTGCTAGGATAGTCATCACTTATGTTGCCTTCCTAATGGAGTTGGATAGTTCTCCAAGAACTTACTCATGTTTCCCTGTCGTATTTTTTCTTTCTTCTTCTGTGTCCTTTGTACATTGTTATCTTCAGGGCCATTAATTCATTTGATCTGGTCTGATTTCAGAATTTTTTCATCTCTTTTGATCTTTTTATATCTTGCAACTCCCTTATTTTTTATTTAAAACTTCACTTTCTATTTTGTGTTCCTTGATTATATTTCTCATGACATTTGCTTTTTTCCGAATTTTGTTGTATGTCTTAGCTTTTCAGAGTTCCATTGTATCACTTTGATTTATTTTTTGCATTTTCTTCCATTTGTTTTATTCTTTATCAAGACAGTGTTGAATTCTCTATTGGGAAGATGCAATTTTCCATATCTGAAAGATATGGAATCCTAGAGAATTGTTCCCTCTTATTCCCTGAAGCCTCAAGTTGCCATTTTTGTGTTTGTTTCTTTGACCATTTTGCTGCTTTAGATCTTAGACATTTAAACTTATTCTTTCTTCCCATCTGGTGTCACTGTGGTTTTTATATGATTTGGGATGTTGGGCTTTTGTGGGCCTTCATAGGTCTGAGACCTGATCTAGAAGCTGCTGAGTCAGGGAATAGAGAAGGATCTCGGAGGAGGTAAGCTCTGTTGTCGGTGCTCTGGAGTGGGACAGAGCTTGTGTTTGTGGCACCATCTATAGCCCTCTTCTCTCTGGAGTTCTAGACCTAGAGTTCCAAGGCTATGCTGTCTCTGAGTGTTCTCAGTGAACCTTACAAGGTCACTACCAGTCCCTCAGGTGGGGAGGGGGAGTGCTGCTCAGCACAACATCCTTGTTCCTTTCCCTGAGGACCTGGCCTCTGGGAGCACCCCAGCTCCCCTGCATGTATTTTCCTCAGTCAAGAGTGTGTGCTTCTGCAGGGTTCAGCCCTCCCTAGGGCCATTGGCTGAGTGGCAGCACCAGCATAGTTTGCAATGCAGCCTCCCACCCTCTACCACTACCTCCAGGTATCTCTTTCCACCCATTTCTTGTTCACTGAAGCTTGAATTTTCTATGTGTCCCTTCAGGCACAGTCTGCCTGATTTTACTGTTCAAGAGGTAGTCTAGTTTAGCCCCAACCAACAGGATTCTGCATGTAGTACTCTACCGATTAACATAGGTGATTCTTTGGGGGCCAAAGCAAGGAAACTCTGATGCCATTACTTACCATATTGTTATTGATCATATTTAAAAGCCCATTTTTTTTCCATAGGGTATTTTAAACTAATTAGGGGAAAAGGTAGATTTCTTCCACCCTAATCAAACTGCTCTTAAAATCACTATAACAGACTCTCCCATTGCCACTATAATTATATATTCTTTTTTTTTTTTTTTTTTGCCTATT